GACGCAACAGGGCAGAGGGGTCGAGAGGGGCGATGGTAGATGCAAAGTCCACCATATCAGCAACCTGTGGGTGGAAAGGGAGGGGTGGCAGGCAGGGGTTAGCAAGGGACAAGTGGACTTTTGAGTCGACTCAAAATTCACAAGGGACAAGTCGCAACAGGGCAGAGGGGTCGAGAGGGTGATTGTAGAAGTGCGAAGACTACCACATCAGCAACCTGTGGTGAGTGGAAGTCGTGGCGTATGAAAACTTAGGGGTTTCTGGATAAGCAAGAACAAGATGCAACATGGGAGAGGGGCTGGATGGAAACGGGAGATGGTGCGAGGGAGAGAGGGGGGAAGGGGGGGGGGGTTGAAAAGGGAGAGTTAAAAGATTTAGAGTTTTCAAAAACCCAGGGCAGGTGATGCGGGGGGGTGGGGAGGGGGTCGAGAGGAGTGAATGTAGATGCAAAAATAACCACGTCAGCAACATCTGGTGCAAAAATAACTTGAACTAATCAAGTTCGAGGATGGAAAACTTTTCGCACTCAGACGGCTAAGATTTCGCATGCTCTTGTGCATTTGGATTTCCGGGCAAAACCCATGGATTGGCTGCAGCAAGTTATAAGACATCCTAATTGCCAGACTGAGTCACACTAAGGACCAAAATCACCTTCATAAGCTCAAGACAGCGAAGGAGGTCACCAGGGGGCAGGGTACGACCTGGAAGAGAGGGAAGGGGGGATTCAAGAAGATCCGGGTCAGGACAGGGGAGCAATGGGGCGAGGATGGGAGCACAGGCGAAGGCATAAAAGGGGGAGAGGGGAGAGGGAAGAGAGGGGGGGCGGTGATAAGAGACGAGAAGAGAGGGGGGGGTGATAAGAGAGGAGAGGGAGCGAGAAGTGATGGGATGAAATGAGACACATGAGGCCAGGCATGCGAAACAATAAACTCATTTAAACATAGAATGCGGAGGAGGCACTAGGCGCATCCCCCCAGCCCCTGCATATCCCACCCCCTGTGCCCCTGCGCCCTCCCCGTATGCCCCTGCACATACTCCCCCCCCCTGTGCAACTATGCCCTCCCACCTATGCCTCGTACAGCAAATGCAGCTACTAACGAAACGAGCTACTCACAGCAAAGCGCGCCTTGATCTTCGGAAGAGCCACCAGACGCACTCCCCCAGGCCCTGTGCGCTCCCCCTGATCCCCTCCGCCCCTGCTGCTCCCGGCCCTCCCCCTTCCAGGTCCATCCCCTGCCCTGCTGCTGCTGTTGCTGCTGGGGGGCTGAAGACTGGTTGGGGATAGGAGGAGAGGGAGTGGGGAGGGTGGGTGGGGGAAGTGGAGGGATGTGGAGAGGGGTGGGAGCGGTGTGTGTTGGATGAGAAATGAAGCTGAGTAGCTGAGACAAACTGACTTGTGACGGAAGGAGGAGAGGGTTGGGAGGGGCGAGGGGGTGGGGGGAGGGGGGGGGGGGGTTTGGGGGCGGAAGAGGGGAGAGAGGAGAGATGGAGGCGATAGAGAACGAAGAGAGGCCAACTGAGAGGCACGAGAAATCTGTAGAGTCCCACACGAAAAACACCTGAAAGCAGCAGAGCGCCACCTGAAAAAAACCTGAAAGCAGCAGAGCGCCACCTGAAAAACACCTGAAAGCAGCAGAGCCGCACCTGAGAAACACCTGAGGCAGTGCATGCACCTGAAGAAAGCAGAGCCTGACCTGAGAGGCACCTGAGGCAGCAGATGCCTCAACAAACGTATCAGCCAGGTGAGCCACATCCACTTGGCGAGATAGACCAATCAGAAGCTGTGAATCGGGGAGTGGTGAAGGGGAGAGAGGACACGTGGGGACAGGAAGGGGGAGGTGGAATGGAGAGAGAGACGGACACGAATGGACCCCTTAGGCGACCCACATGCATCATGCATCATGCATCATGCATGCACATCCACTAGACGAGATAGATGAATCAGAAGCTGTGCGATAAGACGCGCCAGGGAAAAGGTGCACACAGATAACTCGTGTTTGAATTCGTGTTTGAATGCGGTACAAACGAATAGGTCTGTCCGTTCCAATAATAACTCGCCTCTGAAAAGCACTCACTTCAAGCTCGATTCACCACGACACGTGGAGGAGAGAGCACTCTCTGGTAGCAGCAGAAAAGGCACAGCGCACACTGGCTGGCTCTCTAGGAAGCCAACACGCCAACGAGAGCACAGCACAGCACACTCACCACGGCGACTTGAAGTCGCCTCACGGACTCGCTTAACAACCGATCCAAGCTCGGCCCACCATGCTTTAACCAGCTAGTTAGGTGACTGGCATCGAGAGCTTGACTCACCACGAGCCGGGGAGGCGTGGTGGCACAGAGAGCGCTCTCTTGGCGGCCAGCACATCGGCGCGCTTCTTGTCTCGCAGCTGGGAGTTGAGGAGGGGGAGGCGGCGCAGCCACGGGGGAAGGGGGGGAGGGTGGGGTGGGGGGAGGGGGAAGTGGTATTGAGGGGTCAGAGGAGGAAGTAGTAAAATCCTGCATTTCTGCTCCCCTTTTTGTCGCGGATTTGAATGAAACGAAGGGGACGAGAGGGGAAGGGTTTTACCAAACCTCAGACCTCGAACCTGTTGTTGAGGCTCAAAACCGTTGGCCAGCCAAAACCCTAACCCCTCTCAACCTCCCCTTGCTTCAAAATCAGACTCCCCCATTCCTGCAGCGACGAATCCCTATCCCTTCTATCTGCTACAACGCACTCGCCCTGCGAAATGACGAACTGCTCGTAGCCCCATCGTACCAGCTTGTTTCGGTTGAGCCTCTCCGCCTTAGCAACGGCACCATGCCCCTTCCCCTTGCCCTTCGCCCCCCCGCGCGCTGGCCCTGCTGCTCCGCCGTCCGACGCTGCAGGGGGGAGGAATGGGGAAGGGGGCAAGAGGAAGGGGCGGGGAGGGAGGAGAGGAGGGAAGGGAGAAGCACCAGGGAGGCGTCCGGAAATGTCAGGGAAGAAAAAAGAAACCGGGCAGGAAGCCCCGGCAAAGATTCGGGGTTTAAGGGCAGGAAAAGATCTAGCGGTTTCATAAAACCCCACGCGGTAAGGTTTATGAGTAGCGCAGAGATCTTTCCGATACCGTTTCGAAGGCTGTCCCTGAATGGCGTGGCCAGCTTCTGAAAACGGGCCACTCGCGAACTGCTGCTAGAAAATTCACACGCGATTTCCTCAATGGGAGTGACATTCCAAGGCTGAATCTACGCCCCGCCTCGTCCAGCTGGTGAGAGCGCACGTACGTAAGTACTCCTGGCGAAGAACGGATGGTGTGTCTAGAATCTGGAAGCTAACAATTCGCGAATTGCTCCCGAAAAAATGGCACGCGATTTCGCCACTGCCGGTAACGTCATGAAAGGCGAGGTAGATGGGGGGGCGCAGATTTACCCGCGGCCATGTAAGCCGTACCAGAGGTGCTACAGGCAGGAACGGTGAGGATTTGCCCTTGGCGACCTATTGCATGGCACGTTGACTCTTCGTTAGACGCCTCACGATTACACCGCGACAGAAGGAGCGCTCGGTACCTACCCTTAGCGACCCTTAGACGGGAGCGAGCGAATTTTACCCTTTGCAATCTTTCGCAGAGCACGTTGGCTCTTCGTGAGGCGTCTCGAAAGCACCTTGTACCTTGTGTGCCTTTAGACAACAGTGCTACGGACCTACCCTTAGCGACCTTGTAACCGAACCAACGAGGTGCTATAAACGGGCGCGGTGAAGAGATTTACCCTTAGCGACCTTGTGCAGGGCACGCTGGCTCTTGGCGCCGAACCGCGACTTGTGCGCCTTGTTCTTCTGCGTCCTCGCGCCGCCGCCCGCCATCACTGAATCTCCACCAGCGTGACTTACGCTGCCTTGATTTACGGTACCTTGGTTAAAGCTAAAAGTACCTACTCAAACCCTTATCTTAAGCGAACAGGCTGGGCCTCGGTAGGATGGCGTCGCTTCAAAGGCTGATCAGCGCGCCAGCGACAGCAAAACGTGGGAACCAGAAACAGGGTCGCGTGCTCGGTTTTAGGGTTTCGTGGCCTGGGTTTCGGGTTTTGCAGTTGGGGGAAGTTTAGCTGGCGGTGGGGGAAGGGGAGGGGGAAGGGGACGAAGGGTAGGGGGAGAGGGCGGAGATGGAAGGGTGGCACGAAGTGTTATGATCTTGAAACTTGCCAGAATGTTTTAAAATCCTCAGCGCACTACAACCGTCCGACGCGAGGCTACACTTTTCAAGCGAACCAGACAACCATTTCAGTCTGTAAGCGGTATAGATGTACACCTAGCCCGCGGTATTTTCACACCCAGTATTTTCACACGGGGTGCCGCCGAGAGGGTATTCACGCCCCGAAAACAGCTCCTGAAGACCAGATCCGGATACCCTTGAAATACAAATTGAACTTGGGTTTCTATACGAAAAGTTTACTTCTCGATTTAGTGTTTCTCGAGTCGGGAAAACCGACTCCAGCTTAGGCAGTGCTCAAAGTTTTTGCCCGCGTGGAGTCTGCTAAGCTTAGGCCGTAGGTACAAGGGGAAACTGTCTACGCACTCATAAATGGTCAGGGTGGAAACAAAAATTCTTCTGCCGTTTAGTTTCAGGGTGTGCAATTACCGCGGGCTAGGTGTATCTAAGCAGCTATACCTATTTTACTCTATTGTCTTACCCTGAACAGTCCAAAATTCAATCTCACCTACCAGGTGTTAGCATGACTCGCGTTGACACTGAAACCGATTGGCTGCAATCTTTACGATGGCGAACAGTCAAATCGTATCTCGACAATTGCGAGAATCCGAGCTGGGAGGTCACCCTTGCAAATTATCTAGTGCATGAGCGTGAATTTGTAACCAAGTGATGGTCTATACTGTTGGTTTTCCCCGTCAATATCCCATTTGCTCGGATTTGACTATTTCCTGCTTATAGGCTCAAGTTGCGTGCAATACTTGTGGGATCCGAAATGAGAAAAGATGTATTCCCTCCCCCACAATTCCTCGCATCGCAACTCCTAGCCAAAGGCAGCCAACCACTCTCATTTAGTTATTAGTCCACCATTGACGTGGCTCTTGCCGCCCTTACGCATCCTGTGTTTGTCAACTCTATATCTTTGCATATGCCATATCCAGGCTATTAGTCAACAGCAGCCACCTCAATTTTGAGATACTGTACTGTATCTCGCCACGGTGGATTTGATTTCGGGCCAGCACTTCCCAAGCGAGGAAAATAGCCTGCCATCGCCTCGACTCCGCGTGGATCCGAACAGTCCATGTCAGCTGTTGGTTGTGCCTAGCGAGCAGTGTAGAGTTACCCATACGTGGATTTCTGGATAGTAGCAATTTAATAGCTTTTCTTTCATAGTTTATTGTACTATGTTCACGAATTTTTTGCACTTCGGAATTCAAAATCGACGCACGAACGATAGTACAAGTACTGCCACTCGAAGCGTCAAGGTCCGTCTTGGCTATTTTTAGATAAGCCGCACTGCATGGGCTTTGCATGCCAGCGCACGACAATTGCATAGGAAATCATCGCATGGCGTGGAAGGGCGTATATCGGGAAGGTAGGCAAAGGGAGGAAGGTGGCGGCCTGGAGGTGGGTGGGCATTGTAACGCATGGCCTCTGCACAGTACGCGGGCCTAGAAACGACCTTCCCAACCGCTTTCCACAAATCGGCTACCTATGCTAGGTAGCGCGAAATGGGAAGGAAGGGTTGGGAGGGGCGGATTAGGATTGGTCGACACTTGGGACCAATCAGATTTTAGTTGTACAAATTGAGTTGGCGAAATTCCCAACTCACGCGATGGTTGGATTTGTGACCAATCAGAACCAGGGAGTTGGTTGGCAGTGCCAACTCAACTCGAATATTCTTATGCTGTACACTATATGCTAATCTGAATATATTGTTCTAAACCTCTCATTGGTTGGAAATCCAACCCTTTTGCCACATAAGCTAGCTCACCTCCTTGGAGCCATGGAGGAGGTTGAGCAGCTGCTAGGAGTCATTGGAAGGGGTCTGAGCTGAGAAGCTCATTCTCAACTTCCCACTCCAAGAAATCAATCTTGAAATGGGATTTTCTTTAAGTCATAAGCTCTCCTCACAAGCTTCCCTTCACTAGTGGCTTCTAGTGTGATCTCCTAGGGGAAGCCCTACCCGACCAGAGTCTCAAGCACTTGTCTTCAAGGGCCTTCCTCAAGCTTAAGCTATCTCTTAGAGGAGGTTCCTCCTAAATACTACTCTAGGGGATCGTTAGTTGATTTTGTACTCCATTTTATATCCTAGGATCTTGGATGTTGGGTTTGGACTTCAACCCTTGTTGCCCATGATATAAGGGCAAGGGTTGTTACATTTGGTATTCAGAGCTACGTTAGTCTTAAGCCTTGTGGGATTTTTCTTGATTTTTTTTTTGTTAGAGGGGTGATTGGCCTTCAATCCAAGACATTGGAGTGAAGATTTCAAGATATCTCAAGCTTCTCCAAGTCATTTTGAAGAGCTTTTTCAAGATCTTCATCAAATTCCTCCACTTCTCAAGACAATTTTCCAGCACAACCTCTTCTCCTGTCTCCACCATTCAAGATTTGAAGAGAGAACATTTTCTCTCTTACCCACCTTGTTGGTGGAAGACTCCCCTGAGGAGTGTGGCTCAGATCTGCGATCTGTTGCAAGATCTAGTTTAGATCTTGCCCTAGCATTGAGGTGCTAGGGATTGGGCAACAGATTGTATTTCTTGTAATTTCTCTTATTAAGTTATTCTGTTAAGAGATCTCTTTATAGAGATTGTCTTGCCCTCTCACTGCAGTGATTGGGACTTGAACAGATTTCTGAAGAGATTTTAAAGAACATTTCAGATCTGTTGAAATATCTTCCTTGTTTTACCATGACTTCAAGTCAAGCTTTGGAAAACTTGGAAAGGGAGGAGCCTAATGTGACTCATGAGGGAGCCAACCTTGCTGCTAATAATAACCAACAGCAAGATGAGGCCATGGCTGATATTGAATTGGTGGACATAAATTTGGAGAATGAGGGAAATGAAGAGCATGGAGAAGCAGAAGGGATTGATGGAGCAGAGGGGGAGGATGATGGCATCGAGGAATGGTCGCTCTCCGATGATGTGGCTAAACTCCAGGCACAAGTCTCGGAGCAGCAGCTTATAATCAATCAACAGAAGGGACACATCAACTCCCTCAATATTGCTTTGGCGACACAAAAGACCGACACGACTAGGCTGCAAGCCGATCTCAATATGGCATATGGAGAGGTACGGGATCACAAGCGTCTGCTACATAACAGGGGCAATCAAATCCAGGCCCTGGAGAAAAAGTGCGACCAGCTGCAAGCTGCTATCACCCAACTGCAGACTACAATTGCCCAGCTGCAATCTACAATCGCCCCGATGCAACCTGCTATTGCCCACCTGCAGAACCAGTACCGGGATATTCGGCGGGGTCCTATCTACCAACACTCACCCGCTACTGCTGGCCCATCGGGCACCCAATCCAACCCGCCGCCCGTTGCATCTCCTTCAACTGCAGCACCTCAGCAGCCTGTCCAGCCCATGGCAACGCCTTTTGGCTCGCTCCCCACTGCGCTCCCAAAATTCATCCATGGCAAGACGGATGTGGAGAACTGGGTGACAACTGTGGATGAAATGTTGACTCTCCACAACATGCGCACCAACGCTCGTGTCACCGCCGTCTCTGGTGCGTTGGATGAGCATGCTAGCCAAACCATGTTTGCTAGCCGGAAACAGCTCGAAGCAAGTGGAAAGTTTTTCACTTGGGACGAGTTCTGTACTGCAATGAAAGCGGCTTTTCTTGTCAAGACAACTGACATGGAGGTGCGTCGTCGCCTTGAAAACATCAAGTGTGGCGATCGCCCAGTGCAGAAATATGCACAAGAGTTTGAGGGCGTTCTGCGACTGATGGGCAAGCAGCTATCTGAGAATGAAGTTATGTATATCTTCTTCCAGAATTTGCCCCAGTCCCAGCAGGATAAGCATGTCGCAAATGGCCTCAACAAATGGAGCACCTACAAGGAGCTCAAAGAGGCGGTTCAAGCAACGGACGAGACTGTTCGTATGCTAGCAACGCCTTCCACCGACCAGCCTGAGTCGAGGACTCAGGCGAGGGTTGATGGGGGCAATGGTGGTGGTGGCCATTGGAATTCCAAGGGGAAGGGCCATGGGTACAAGAGGCCCTTCCACCAGAATGGTAACCAGCAGCGTCCTCCGGCTAAGAGGGCGAATGGTGGCGGTTACAAAGGGCCGCCAAGGGACTTCTCTAATGTCGTCTGCTGAGGGTGTGGCCGTCGTGGTCACATGGAATTTCAGTGCCGCTATAGGAATATCATAAAACATAGTGGTAAGCCTAAGGGCAACAACAATGGCGGCGAAGGACCTTCTGGCAGTAAGAAGGATTTTCAGAAGTCCAACTAGGGTGTGGGTACCTAGTTGGTCAGATAGATCGAGGGGATGAGGCATATGCTTTATGTGACGATGATTTACTAAAGCTAGAGAAGCTTGCTGAATGCAAAATCTCTTATTTGTTTGCCTCTTCTTTTAATAAAAACTCAATGTTTGCACCTCGATCGTACCCACTTGATGCTATATCCATCGAAGCGTTACGAGATAAATTCTCAGTCGTTTACTGTGGCCTGGAAACATTGCCTTCTGTACTCGATGTTGTGAGTCGTTGTACTCAAAAGCACCCCCTGACTGCGGTCGCCGTGGTGACTCGTACAGTAAAGGGCGAAACGTTCAAATCGCTTCGTGGATGGGTTGTGCTGGTGTCTTGGGACAAGGGACACCACGTGTGGTGGACCAAATCTGAATCCTTTGGACGAGCTCGCCACAATGTCAAGGTGTACTACAAACCCTCGTCGAACATTGTGGCATGCCCCATCCGTCCAATGCATCAACAAAATCTACTCCTTTCGGGTCACGTTAACGGACATAGCGCGAAAATTCTTGTCGATACAGGTGCCACTGTTTCCCTCCTTGATGAAAAGTGGGTCACACCGCTTGGGGTCCTCGTTGAAGGACCGTCATATCCCATTCGTCTTGGGGACGATAGTCTTATCCCAAGCAAAGGACGGACATTGATCGACATGGAAATCCAAGGCTATAGCGAAAAGATTCGCACTTACGTTCTCCCCTTGCTTGCGGGTGTCGACGTAGTCTTGGGAATGGATTGGTTACGTGCAAACGAGGTTATTTTGGATTTCCAGGATAATACAGTTTCTTTCACCAAGAATGGTGAACCAATCCAGTGGCAGGTGTCTGTCGATACAACCATCCCGGTGGTTCAAATTACGAAAAGTGCAGACGTGTGCTTTGCTCTTGCATGTCAATTTGGACAGCATTACCGCGTTGCTAACACACTTTTCGTCGTACAGCTCGAGGAAGCTGGAACCCCAACGCCAGACATTGAGGATTTTCCACCTCAAATGAAGGTACTGGCGGATGAGTTTAAGGAGGTTTTTGAGGCTATTCCAGACGGACTCCCTCCTGACCGCTCCGTGGGTGTCACAGGATCGAATGTTCCGAGGAAAGGTTTGCTCAATGTTGCACTATCAATCAGTACAAGGTGCTTTTATACTTCCAGAATACATCAGGTAACCAGGTTTATCCTATCCAAAGGGAATAGACCCTTCTAGAAATAGAATCACCCTGCGTATAGCCACGCGAGGCTATTGGCTTTAAGGGATTACGGCAGGATTACGCTAGATATAGCGCGCCAGTACATCCCGAGCCTGGTCGGTGATATAATCATAATAATAGGATAAACCAAAGGATAATGGAAAAGGAGGAATAGGAAACCAAATGAGATGAGATAAAGACAAAATGAATGAGGATAATAAGAGGAATGAAATAGAAAGGAAATATGGTAAGGGGAAATTGGTGTAACGGGGTCGTACTCTCACACTTCCCCCCCTCAAAGCTGGGTGGTAGACGTAACACCCTGCTTGACAAGGTAGTCGCGAAGAGGACGACGGGCGTTACCCATGTCGGATTCAGAGACGCAGCCTCAGAAGGATCACAACCCTTCTAGCAAAGAAGAAGCTCCAGAGTGCCATTCTGACGACGACGATGTCCAAGCACGTAGTTGTCCCATGTCGTGGATGAACACGGGCGAGGACGGTGGTTGGCATTCGGTGTAGAGCGTGTTTGGTCTTGATAGGGTTTAAGAAGCTGGTATGGAAGGCGTTATGGATCTTCCAAGTGGCTGGTAGGTGGAAGCGGAAGGTGAATGAAGTGACCGTTGCTTCAAAGAGGAAAGGCCCGTTGAAGCAAGGTCGCAGTTTGGATGGAAGATGACCGATATCAAGATTGCGCGTGTCGAGCAGTACTCGGTCTCCCATGGTGATGGTGTGGTCAGGTGGCGTCCGTAACAGAAGAAGTACAGTGTCTGTCCAGTAGCGGTGTCAGGAGCATACTTGAAGGCAAACTCCAGGACGAGCAGATGCAAGTCGGAGTTGGAGATATGAATGGTTGGAACAGTGTGCTGTAATGTGCAGATGAGTGGCTATGTTGTCCGATCTGTGCATGCTGTTACCCGCATCTGGTCCACGTGTGAAGATCACCAAGTGTTGGTGGTATGGCACTCGTGTCGTAGTACTGCTTCTGTAGCAGTGTTGTATCCGTTATATGCAGCTTCTGTCGAATGTTGATCCATGCCGTAGTGTTGTCGTGAGTCATACCCACTCGGCATCGTAGTGCTGCGAGATGGAGAGCCGAATCACTAGTAGTAACCCTGTCCACCACGCGGTCTGCTACTCACATTGCCTTGAGTACAACAGCGCATGCGAAGTGCTGCTCAGCGTATCCCTTGTGTTCAGAACCATGCGAGGGGTCGGTACCACAAACGCGGAGCTGGTAACTTCCAGAATCGGCGCCAAAGTAGTTTCCCTCGGTGGTTGCTCAAGCAAGGAATCTCTGCTGCATAGATATCCCACTGTGATGGGTTAGGACATTTGGGAATGTTGGGGTTATTCCCAAAAAATCCGCTCCTGTTTCCAAATGAGCATTGCTGATAGCCAATCCAGTATGGCCTTATGCACGTCCAGTTTAGCACGGAGGCCATCGGTAGGCATCGGTGTCTGGCGCACATATTGGGATAGGTCTTCTGGTGCCATCATGTGTTGTCTCATTCTGTTACTGTCCTTGAAGTAGCGTTGATGCCGAAGATGTCTCAGCTGCTCAACATCAGTGTTGAAGTCTGCTCCATCTCGGCAAACAGGGGTGTTGTTGGAGATACGCGGAGTCCACTATCCGGAGTGGCGTCGGCGCTCCATTCCACGCCTATCTGCTTCCGTGGAGTTGGTGCTACTGATGGATTGGTTGTGACGCAGGTTTTATGACTTTAAGGAAAGCCATAGGCCATGAGGACTTGTATACCGGTAGAGTACCGTGGTCCTCCCATCCTCATAAGAGCAAATATCTTCCGCTCTTGAGGGTGTATGGCATTGCCATGTTGTTTCCTCGCATAGTGGTATCTCCTTCCCACTAGCTGGAAATCATAGTACTGTGCCTGGCCGGGACTTTACGATCCACTGGAATATAATCCAGCATTATCTCCATTGAGTGGAGAATCATCCATCAGGATTTGGTTGTGAGTGTTGTGTCGAGTCTTCTACTGCGGTGGCGGCGGCGGTTGCGACGACGGCGACGGCGGCAGCTGCTGCAGAGAATTCTCTCAACGCATACCAGTTGAAGGAGAATCCATCAACTCCCTCTTCCCAGTAGAGTGTTCCTGATGGGTGTAACAGGCGTAACTACCAGGAACACGTGCACATTGGTACACATGTGTTGCTCCATTGCTGCCGGTGATTGTTTCATTTGAGGGTGTGAAGAGAAATTTGCTTCTCCCCTCAAAGTATCCACGGGTAGCAATTCCTGGTATGCTCATCCGTGCCTCCGATGTACGGTCGGTAGAGCGCGTGATCGTGTTGTAGTAGTCCGCATCTCCCTCATTTGTTGACACCTCGTGTTGCTTGACGTTCTCCTGCATCGTCGAAGTTACGTTGGTGCTTGTAACGCTTCGGCTTCTGGTAGAATCGCCTCCAATGCATGTGCCGTAGGGTCGCTAGTGAACGAGTACTTGCCGGATTAGAGGTTAATTACTCCTCAATCTGTCAAGCATCGTGACATGCACGGAATTCCCTTCCACGCAGGTCATTAACACCTGGAATCGCGACGCATGATTGGTGTGTCGCCTCGTGAGGTCGATGTTGAGACTGCTCCAATCAATCACTTCGGATGGCTGAGATTCTTGATGAAGACGAATCGATCAGCTCCTGTTACGAAGTAGTGTCTCGCTGGCCTTGACGAGACGGGTTCACTGCGTCGTCGTTGCGTGCGAAATCTGGTCCTTCGCAGCAACTTGAACTTGGGAGCATTGCAAGAGAAAACGGCTACTTCTCTGCAATCCCATAGATTGTCGATCAAATTTTATGAGATGTGCCTCGTGGATGGAGAACATGTCTTCACGCAGCTCCATTAGTTTTCCTGGGTGAAGATCCCGTCGTATTGATATCGATCCATTTTTAACGAAGATGACTTCGTCAAAATAAATCGATCGTTGTCGACACTAGTTAGAATATGCGTCGATTGTGCAGTCGCTGGTCACGAATGTTGTCTCCATGATGATGATTTTCCATAGTGTAGACTCTGCTGCATTCGTGCCGTTGATTCCGCACCGATCCGACGATCCACGTTCTTGTGTCAATTTTCTGCTTGCAGATATTACCAAGTAGGTAATACGCTGGCAGATTTCTGACTCCGCAGATGATTTTGCACCATATTCGTCACCAAATTGGGGATTTCGATTCGGGTTGTCCAGGTGATGACAGCGGTGTCGAAAGCGGCTGATTTCTGGTTCTGCGCGTCATTCTCCCTTCAAGCAGTAGTCGCGCTCCATCTCGTCCGTTGAAGTAGAAGTCGATCCGACGGTCCAAACTCCAAGCGATCTGAGGATACTCCAGAGACGCGTTCAGCAGCTTTCGGCGCCCGGGTTGACTCGTTTCCTGCAGCAATTCTCGGTCGTCGATGTCGGCTGTCGATCGATCCAACGCTCCGAAGAATTTCGCGGCTTACAAGGTCTCGTTCCCATTCGCGCCGAAACTCGAACTCGCTCAGCAGGATTTCGTTTTCGCCTCGGTCGATCTGAAGCGTCGAATCTCCATCGGACGGATGTCGTCGGTCGAACCTCCGCAGAGTTCCGCGCAACTCCAATCGTTGTCGCGAACTGCGAACTTCTCCGAATGTCGCAGGGAGTGTTCCGCCGGAACTGACGCGCTCGCCAGGTCGAGGCCGTTTGCCCCCGCGAAAAATCGGCACCGTCGATGCAGTCCATCGAACGGTTGGCGAGGCATCTCGCCTTCGATGGGGACCCCAGGTGCAACTGCGAGAGGTGAGTCGAAACTTAAATGAAAGTGCATTGTACTTACAGGAAACGAAGTTTTGACTCCATCCTCCGCGTGCTCCTGGGGGCCCAGCGGTTAAGCGTTGAGCTGAACCCTTGGCTCTGATTACCAAGTGTCACAGGATCGAATGTTCCGAGGAAAGGTTTGCTCAATGTTGCACTATCAATCAGTACAAGGTGCTTTTATACTTCCAGAATACATCAGGTAACCAGGTTTATCCTATCCAAAGGGAATAGACCCTTCTAGAAATAGAATCACCCTGCGTATAGCCACGCGAGGCTATTGGCTTTAAGGGATTACGGCAGGATTACGCTAGATATAGCGCGCCAGTACATCCCGAGCCTGGTCGGTGATATAATCATAATAATAGGATAAACCAAAGGATAATGGAAAAGGAGGAATAGGAAACCAAATGAGATGAGATAAAGACAAAATGAATGAGGATAATAAGAGGAATGAAATAGAAAGGAAATATGGTAAGGGGAAATTGGTGTAACGGGGTCGTACTCTCACAGTGGGCCACACCATCCCTGTGGAGCCTGGAAAGCTCCCACCGTTTCGACCTCTGTATCGCCTCAGTCCAGCTGAGTACGAGGAGGCTAAACAACAAATTGAGGAGTACCTCAGGAAGGGATGGATTGAGCCAAGCGCATCACCATATGGAGCACCAATCTTGTTCGTTAACAAGAAGGGTGGTGGCTTACGCATGTGCGTCGACTACCGCGCCTTAAACAAGATCACGATCAAGAACAGATATCCTCTTCCAAGGATAGAAGACCTGTTCGATCGACTCCAGGGTGCTCAGTGGTTTAGCGCGTTGGATCTGGCACAGGGGTACCACCAACTGCGCATCACTGAGGAAGATGTTCCCAAGACGGCGTTCCGTTCGCCGTTTGGCCATTTTCAATGGCGTGTGCTTAGCTTTGGCTTGACCAATGCTCCAGCCTCTTTTCAAAGGGCCATGAACGATGTGTTCCGCGAAGCAATCGGGCACTTTGTTCTGGTTTACCTTGACGACATCTTGGTTTATTCCAAGACTGAAGAGGAGCACACTCAACACCTAAAATGGGTGTTAGGAAAGTTGCGAGAACACAAGTTCTATGCTTGTTTATGGAAATGTCATTTCTACAAACGCCAGCTGGAATACCTCGGTCATCTTGTCGGGAACGACGGACTTAAAGTCGACCCCAAGAAGGTGGTGGCTGTTCAGAATTGGCCCGTCCCACAAGACGTGGGCCAGATCAGATCCTTCCTAGGCCTGGCCAATTATTTCCGCCGGTTCTTGGAAAATTACTCAACTGTCGTTGCCCCTCTGACAGCACTCACCCGAAAGGGTAGTGCATGGGAGTGGACTCGACAATGCCAAGAGGCATTTGACAAAGTCAAAACAAAGCTGACCAATGCTCCGGTTCTGGTATTGCCAAATCCTTCTAAACCCTATGCGGTGGTCACAGACGCCTCGACAGTAGGGATTGGGGCGGTACTCTTGCAGGAGGGCCGCCCAGTGGCGTTTGAGAGTAGGAAACTCTCCCCGGCAGAGCAGCGCTATACGACGTCAGAACAAGAGTTGCTGGCGGTCGTGCATGCGCTACGCACATGGCGATGTTATCTGGAAGGTGTGGAGTTTGTGGTCACGACAGATCACTGTCCGAACACCTATTTTTCTACTCAAGCCACGCTCACTCAGCGCCAAGCCCGCTGGGCAGAACTCCTTAGTGGGTTCACATTCGATATTCGATATCGTGCAGGTTCTACGAACATGGCTGACCCCCTCAGCAGACAGTCGATAGGGGCAGCGACTGGGCTTGAAGAAACCGAGGATAAGGCAATGGTTGCTGCTTGCTTCGGTATTCTTGCCGTGGCTCGAGTGAGTGAGGTCACCTTCAGTGGTTTTCTGAAACGCATCCGCACAGGATACCATATTGACTCCTGGTTTCAGAACCCACAAAATACGAAGGGCCTCAAATACGAGCATGAGCTCTGGTGGCGAGAGCATGAGATTGTGGTACCCCACGTGGGTAACCTGCGGAATGATATAATTGAGGAAGTGCATAGCACCAGGTACGGGGGACACCTGGGTATCAAGAAAACCCGGTGGGCCTTAAGTGACGTATACTGGTGGCCTGGATTGGGGACTGAGGTCCAACAATTCGTGTCGCGTTGTGATGCATGCGCACGCAACAAGTCAGACACGAAAAAGCCTGGTGGTTTGCTTCAACCACTGGAGATTCCAGACGAACCCTGGGAGAGTGTCTCACTGGATTTCATCACAGACCTCCCAAAAACACGAGACGGTCATACTGCAATCTTGGTCTTTGTGGATCGACTGACCAAAATGGTGCACTTCGTTGCCACTACGACAGACGTATCTGCGGAAGATACGGCCAAGTTGTTTGTAGCACACGTGTTCCGCTTACACGGGTTACCGCATGTGCTGGTGTCCGATCGAGATCCGCGCTTTACAAGCCGGTTCTGGCACGAAGTTACACGGACACTCGGAACGAAGCTAAAGATGTCGTCAGCCTTCCATCCCCAAACGGATGGGCAGACAGAGCGGGCAAATCGTACACTTGAGCAAATGCTTCGTTCATTCATTGGCCCAACTCAGGATGATTGGGATGACTTGTTACCTGTGGTTGAGTTCGCAGTGAACAATTCCGTCCATGAAGGTACCCACGAAAAACCCTTCATTCTGAACTGTGGTCGGCATCCCACGACACCTGCTACGCATGGTCGGCATCCCTGCCGCGCAAGACTTTGTGGGCAAGCAGCAAGAAGCGCTCAAGTCTGCTCGCCGCTGGCTGCAACTGTCTCAGCAGCGACAAAAGTCTTATGCCGACATGAAACGCCGGGAAGTCTCTTTTGAGGTTGGAGACAAGGTATTATTGAGCACGAAGAACATTCGTCTCAAAATCTCTGGGGCACAAAAGCTGTTCCCTCGATGGATTGGGCCATTCGAGGTGATCCAGCGAGTTGGTGTGGTAGCTTACAAGTTGAAGTTACCCGAAACATTGCAGATTCACAATGTCTTCCACGTGTCTCTGCTCAATAAGTACATTGCTGAAGGCAAGTACTTACCTCCGCCAACAATCGTCCTCGGAGAGGAACTCTTTTATGAGGTCGAGCGTGTGCTCATGCACCGTGATCGACAGCGCGGCCGCAAGACAGTACGCGAGTTCCTCATTAAGTGGAAAGGCTATGGGCCTGAACACAACTCATGGGAGCCAGAAGAACATTTGACCGAAACTGCGGTTCACGGATATCTGGAAGACCTGGCTCAACGAGCAGCCTCACAACCAGTGGGTGGTGTTGACCCTGGTCGTAATGTGATTCGGCGCGCTCGAAGCACTTGTCCCCAGAAGCCCTCTACGGCAATGAGGACGTTGCCACCTGGAGGGGGAGGAGTGTAACGCATGGCCTCTGCACAGTACGCGGGCCTAGAAACGACCTTCCCAACCGCTTTCCACAAATCGGCTACCTATGCTAGGTAGCGCGAAATGGGAAGGAAGGGTTGGGAGGGGAGGATTAGGATTGGTCGACACTTGGGACCAATCAGATTTTAGTTGTACAAATTGAGTTGGCGAAATTCCCAACTCACGCGATGGTTGGATTTGCGACCAATCAGAACCAGGGAGTTGGTTGGCAGTGCCAACTCAACTCGAATATTCTTATGCTGTACACTATATGCTAATCTGAATATATTGTTGTAAACCTCTCATTGGTTGGAAATCCAACCCTTTTGCCACATAAGCTAGCTCACCTCCTTGGAGCCATGGAGGAGGTTGAGCAGCTACTGGGAGTCATTGGAAGGGGTCTGAGCTGAGAAGCTCATTCTCAACTTCCCACTCCAAGAAATCAATCTTGAAATGTGATTATTCTTTAAGTCATAAGCTCTCCTCACAAGCTTCCCTTCACTAGTGGCTTCTAGTGTGATCTCCTAGGGGAAGCCCTACCCGACCAGAGTCTCAAGCACTTGTCTTCAAGGGCCTTCCTCAAGCTTAAGCTATCTCTTAGAGGAGGTTCCTCCTAAATACTACGCTAGGGGATCGTTAGTTGATTTTGTACTCCATTTTATATCCTAGGATCTTGGATGTTGGGTTTGGACTTCAACCCTTGTTGCCCATGATATAAGGGCAAGGGTTGTTACACGCATCCTTAGAGGAGCCACGCCATGCCTACGTAACGCCTCCGGGGGTGGGTTGACAAACCCTCTGCGCTTCGTGCATCGTCGGTTCGACCGCAGCTGAGGGTCTTTGTAATGCGCGACCGAAATACTCGGCCCGAACTTGTCCGCCCCAACGTCAACGCTCCCCAACCGCACAACCACAGCGCTATTGTGGCCACTAGGCAGCATTCTGCGGGCAACGCTGGTAGTGCAGGAGAGCGGGTAGGCAGTGTTGAGTATCAGTGCTGGGATTGGCAGGGTTCAATCCTTCGTGCCTGTGTGCCATGGATATAAAAGGCAGGGTTTAGGGCGTGTGTCATCACCAGTGCCTTACTATCTGCATTTTGGAACAGCAGCGCTCTTTTTTGCCTTCAGAAGGCATCACGCAATGGCGCGGCTCCTCCCTCTCTGCATTGCTGCAGCCGTCATCCTCGCCCTGCTCTGTGGTGAGTCCACCTTCCCTCTCTCTCCCTCTCTCTCTCTCTCCTTCTCTCCCTCTCTCTCTCTCTCTCTCTCTCTCTCCTCTCTCTCTCTCTCTCTCTCTCTCTCTCTCTCTCTCTCTCTCTCTCTCTCTCTCTCTCTCTCTCTCTCTCTCTCTCTCTCTCTCTCTCTCTCTTCTGCTCTCCCGTATCCCACCCTAAACTTGAAACCCTACTACCAGGGGGAGAGGGGAAAGAGTGGGGAGGGATTTCCGTTGAGCGCTCTGCGGGCGCTAACTTAGCGCGTTGTGCGCGGCACAGGGAAACACTCTCTCATATTACATCACATCCGTGCTGTATGATGTGAACATCATTCATGTCGTCCCGGCCCGGGCAACATCATTTAGTGCGGAGGGGGGGAGGGGGGAGGGGAGGGGGGGGGGGGGGGGGGTTTGGGAGGATGAAAGGGCACGCGGCACTAGGTCCAGGACAATTACCTCACCACTTCCGGAAAGTCGTTTCTAGTATTGACTGGGGCCCTCTTCAGTGTCGTGGTAGTGGCAACAGTACTATTACTAGCACTACTAACATTACTAGCACGACTAGCACTCACTCTCTTCCCGTGGAGCCTCTGACGTGCGATGACGCGACGTCTTCCTCCCGGCTTGGCTGTTGTTGTGATTCTCATCGCGCTGTGTGAGTTCCCTCGACCTAGTACATAATACTTGCCAAATCTCCTCACTCGCGCACCCCTTACCCTGACTCTGGCTCTCACTGGCGCACAGCCTGAGGCATATGCAGCTCGTGTATAGCCATGTACCTGTACTAGTAACTCCCATCTCATATAGCTTGCACCTTGTTTAATCTGGTTCTTGAGAAATTTCAAAAGCCAGCTCAGTTGTCTCTAACTGTCCTCTCATTCACTGCATCATGTACTTGTTCTTTTTCTCTCAGGTTCACAGGCGGTAACCCAGGTCAAGGTACGTGGATAACTTATCTGGGCTCTTATCATTGTTGACTTTTGAGGGGAAACCATGGTCACATTATGGCCGCCAAGGCTTGTCAATTAGTTATGCAGAATCGGAGGTTCAAGCGCGGACCCTACAGCCAGGCTTTCGCATTCCCTGGATCCGTTGGCCCAATGTTAACTTCGTTCTGTCTTTTTCTCTGTCAGGCGAAAACTTATTATAGCCAATGGTGGGAGCGATATGATTGGCCACCGTCTCGATTGATTGAAAATGGTGATACCGTTGGTACGTGCTCACCCCACACTCTCACTCACTCTCATTCTCTCTCCCTCTTTCCTTTCTCACTCTCACTCTCACTCTCATTCTGCACTGATCCGCCTTCCATTGACCCATTCTCCATCTGTTAACACTCTTAACACTCCTCGTTTGCCGAGGCAGTGTTTGTCAACAGCAAAATGATACCCACAAAGGTAATTTTGGTTTTGTTCTTCAAGGGAAGCATGGCTTGAGTGCGACTTCTCTAAGGCAGAAAGGCTGCACGAATTTCAGTTTTTTTGGTCAAACATACAAGTACGTGACATTGATTCATCCATCCATCTGTATCTGTTTGCATTTCTTTCTGAAGGTTTGGCTTCTTATTCGTGAAATTGCTAACACATCCTTGTGCTTTTCTCTATCAAGTGGCGGGTGCCCATAGCCTGGGTGAATCGCTCCTTATACTTCAGCTCCTCCCCTAATTTGCGCAAAGCATACAGCTTCAGGGTGAGGATGGAGTATTTGACGTAGGCTACTCCAGTCAATGGGAAAGCGGGCTGAAATTGAATGGATGGATGAGGTGGTATTCATGCTTCACCCCAATCTGGCTAGACAGGAGACTCAATTTCTGTTATATGAGGGGGAATGGTGTATTGTCTAAGGCGAAGATAGGCTGAAGCCATATTGTTGTTGAATCATGATACGGCAGTACCATACATTTTTGCATACAAATTATGGACTAGTACCATATTGTGAAAGCTTGCTTAGTTTCTCTTAGCAAAGGCAGTGCTCTTCATTTCATATGGGTTGAGTACATGGTTCTTGTCCAGTTAACACTACACATACAATAGGGTGGGTGTGTGGGGAAAATGAAACTGAGAACTAGAAATGAAGAACGTGGGTGAGACCGAATGGCCTCACGTCCCTCTTTTGTACGCAAAAGAGGGTGAGTAACGCTTCAACACTGTCTTTGCTGCATTGGCCTTTGCTACACTTTCGCAATACATAATTTTTATAAAGCGTTACACGCTTTCAAAAAATTGCATATATGTGCAATCCTGTAGAGTAGGGGTAGGGGCAATGGGGGCATCAATATGGCCATTCTTGAAGTAGGCCACACAGTCTCTTGCACACGAGTCTCCACCCTAAACATGTCACGTTCCAGAGTTTGGCGCAAGTTAGACCTCATATATTTATCGTTAATTGAACATCTTCTGTTACAATAGAAAAGTGACACACTCGACACTACACAATTGTCTACGAAAAGATCTTGGCTAACTTGTCGATGTTTTCATTACCACCTCCGTCTTGATGGGCTGCACTCCACGTTCACGGACATCCCGTCGGGGTTATCCCCCCCCCCCTCCCCTCTGATTTGCAGGTCTCACAAAGTACCGACCTTTACCGTGGTAAAACGTATTGTGTCGTATTGTAGCGCTTTAGTTTCATGCAAAATCGAAGTCCTATTCAGGTCAGCTAGAGCCCTCAACAAAGCACGCTGAATCACCACACCTGATTACAGAACGTGTACTAGTACTGAAACAGGATACACCTCTTCCACGGAACACTCCATAGCGGTTGACTCCAGATCACCCTTACATTCGATGTGAAATGTCGGCGAAAATTTCGTTGATGTGTTCGCAATTCGCGACAACCTCATGACTCTCGAGTAAGACACTTGAAACCAAACAGAACAATATGCTAGCGGCAAAAAAATCACGGTGGAAGTATCAACTACAATCTGTTTTGCCAGGAGTTACCAGCACTACCGATACTCTTTGGCGCGGCTCGGTCATTGACGCGGAGTGTTCCGTGGAAGAGGTGTATTAGCAAGGCTTGTCAGACAAAGTCACAAAGCCAATGCTGTGACTGTTCGAGAATGCTGTGACCAGAGCACAATTATATAGGTTGCTGTCAAGAGACAGAACCATCGCCATTCCTTGTTGACTCAGTAAATCTGCGAACAGTTGCACTCGAAGGCCTGTATTGAACCATGCAGCCCTAAACTCATAAAAGTCGAGTGTCGGCGGGGTGTTTTGTCCACATCACGTGTGGCAAGCTGAATTGAGGGAGAGCTGTTGAAGACATGCAGTTATGTAGTCTAACAGCTTGCGCCATCGCAAACGGCCAAAAATATGTTGTAAAGTTGGATTGTTGCAGCAGCACGCGCATCTTCTCTTACAGCGTTCTGTTCATCCTCTCAGCTACTCCATTCTGCTGATGGGCGTAAGGCACAGTCTTGCGCATGAGAATTCCTTTATGCGGCAGGTTTTCATCGAACTGCTCGCTAGTGTACTCGCCCGCGTTGTCTGTCTGGATCTCTTTCAGCTTGATGTCGCTCTACCACTCCGCTATTTTCAGCCATAGCTCAAGGCGTTGAGAGCTTCAAATTGTGAGAGGTATTCTTGTGCCAGACATATCCAGTAGCGTCGTCGATGAAGGTAATTATATGGCAATAGTCGTTACCGCTGATATCCTCTGCATCCTACGGCATGAAGAGTATGTCGCTGAAACGGCGTCCATAGGTGAGTACATAGTAGTTGAGATCCAAAAGGTTCCACACGTTCGGGAAGGGTTCTAACACTTTGACACTTTGGAACATAAGCACCAGACTCAAGCGTACTTAGGACGTGTCACAATGGGCCGCGTCGGCAAAAACGGCCTCACAGGACCGATACGGGTTTCTTCATTGTCCCAGTGACGCAGTTTCGATGCCACCTCGCGACCTCTTTCCCGCGATTATGCTTGCTGCCAGCGATCTTGCCAGTCACCCACCACGACAACCGGCGTCGCACACCGACGACGTTGCGAGTTGCTGCAGCTTCAGCGCAGCCACGTCCGGGTAAGGGCCGCCGCTCCAAGGGGGGGCGTGGCGGAGGAAAGGGGCGTAAGGGTGGGGAGGGTGGAGGCGATGGGGGCAGGGATGGTGGTTCGGACGAGGGGACAGGGGCTGGTGCCCCGGAACTGCAGCAGCAGCGGACGCAGCCTCAGCAGCAGCAGCCGACGTAGCAGTTGCCGTGGGGACCCCTGACGCCGTGGTGGACTGGCAGTGCTAGTGGTGGTGGTCGTGGAGGTGGCGAGCACAGCTCGGTGTCGGGTGGCAGCTCCATTGCGTTCACCTGCCAGTACCAGCTTCAGACCGGCCCCCGTCGCGGCACGGTCTGCGACCGTCCCGGTCACACTGCCGTTCGCTGCTACTGCCACTTGTATGACCTTTTCCACCACCGCTTTGGTCCCACGTCGCACCCTCCTGACTTGTGCGCCCTAGTTCGCCGTCGTGTGCCTGTCTTTGAGCTTGATATAGATCACATTAGGACTGCTATGTCTGTCATGTATGCTGCTGAGTCTAATGTAATTGGACCCCATTACCTTATGTTACCTACCGTAGGTGTGTTCCCTGTGTGTAGTCTAGGCTCCCCTGCTGCGTCATGCGTAGGACCCTCTGCCTTGTTTAGCCTAGGTTCTACGCTAGCCCCTCCGCCGGCTGACGCTACTACGTTGCTCTCCTTTACGCTAGACTCTGGTGCGTTCGCCTGTTTCTTTCGTGACCACATTGCGCTCACGCCGCTTACTGCCCCTGCCGCTGTAGCGCTTGCCGACCCCTCCTGAGGTCCGGTAGTAGCTCGTAGCTCCACTACCCTTCCCTGTCCGGCGGTCCCCTCGGGCTCTCTTACAGGCCTTCACATCCCACGTTCTCTAGGAACCTAGTTGGTGTCGGCTGTCTTCAGGACCTCGGTGTCACCACTACGTTCCCCAGATAGTTCCAAGGCCACCACTGGTGCCCCTCTGGCCACGTTCCCTCGGGACCCTGTGTCTGGCATGTTTACGCTTGACAATGCGTTCCCCCTAAAGAGGGCGTCCCCCTAGGTGCCTGCGGCGACCCAGGTTGCCGCGGGTTGCTTGTGTCGGTCGCTCACCCACCCGGCGGTGTTGTGGCAACACCGCCTAGGTCACCCCGCACTCCCACGTCTGCGTCACATGTCCCATCACGGTCTGGTCTTTGGTCTTCCTGCGTTGCTCCCTGCCCTTCCCACCTCGCAAGCGCCGCTGTGTGAACCTTGCGTCGAGGGCCGGCTGTACCGTGCTCCTCATTCCTCCTCGTTCCCCTCTACCATTGTACCACTCCAGACCCTGCACCTTGTCGTTTGGGGCCCAGCCCTCGTCCTTGGGCTGCTTCGAGATCGCTACTTTCTAGTGCTTGTCGACGACTACATGCGCTACACCACGGTGTTTCCCCTGGAGCGGAAGGCCGACATACATGACGTTCTTATCCCGTGGGTCGTAGCTGCGCGAGTCCACCGCGGCCTCCCAGTGCTGCGTCTCCACTCCAATGGTGGTGGCGAGTTTACCTCCGGTCGACCTGGCCATATCTGTCGTACAAAGGGCATCACCCAGTCGTACACCCTGCCAAGTGGTGTATGAATAGTCTTGAATTTCCAGGATGCCCTAACCGTTGATGCCAAATCTCCTCGCTTGCCTTGTGTTCCACAGATCGACGATACAGGTTCGAGTTAGCGTAGAATGCGGAGACGGTCGCGGCGCTCTGATGCTGCTTACGAGGATGCGCCTTCAGCTGCTCGGTCTTGGTCGATGGTGACTCTTTGACGGATTCCATTTCAGGCGGAGCTTCTTCGACGGTTGGCCTCGACGAGGTCCCAGCGATAGGGACGTCTAGGAAGTTGTCGTGTCGGCGCTTACGGTTCTGCTTCGTGTTGTATTTCTGCTTTTGTTTCCTCTGCTTCCCGTTCCTGTTCCTCTGCTTCTTGGATCACTGCTAAGGCTCATGTGCTCTCTGCTTCAGGTATGGTGTTGGAGTACCACAAGCCATCGCGGTCGAACCCAATGTCAAAGTCCGGTGGGTGCGTCCAGGGCGCGAAGGAGACGACGCCATCGTTGTCGACGGTCCGTGCTCTGGATGGCTCTGCCAATGAAGAGGCCGCCCTTCCCGTGGTAGAGTCGGAACTCTCGATTGAAGCTATCACACTCCATGTGAATTCTGTTGAGAATAGCCCTGATCCTATGAAAGTTGCAGAAGTCTACTAAAGCGGCATATCAACGAAATCCTGCAGAAAGGCCCGTTGATGAAGAGCAGATTCGTTGACAAGGCGAGGCTCTG